CGATGGCAAATCGATTCGACAACAAACCTTGTCGGCGAAGGCAAAACAAAAAAATAATCTTCGTCTCTCCACGTTTTCAAAGCAAACAGCGAAGGCACTTTCTTTAAAGAGGTAAACGGCGAGCACCGGCGGTTGGGGTAGGAGTAGCGGCTGAAGGAGTGGAGGAAGAGTGGTGCTGAGAGTGACGAGGAGATGAAGGATGGTGGATCTTGATGTTAGGGAGATGTAGATAATCAGATTATGGATTCATGATCTCTTTTTCTTCTTCTTCTCTGCTTGATTCAACAGATTTATAGAAACTTTTATTTTTTTTCCGATCGAGAGGAAGATGATGACGAAGAAGAAGAGACAGCCGTGTTTTGTCAATTTTAATTAGTCTCTCCATGTTTTCAACACTACTTTATCAAGTGGGCTTTTACTTTTGGGCTTTGTTATTTTAATTTTTTCGTCATACTTTTGGGCTTTGTTACTTTTTTTTGTTTTTGTGTGTTTTTAATAATATGAAACAACAGAAAAAGGGGAGAGAAAGAGTGACGTGGCAGAATAGAAGATTATTATTGGCAAATAAAGTTGAGCTGTATTATTTAAAATGTTTTGATTAGAGTTTCTTTTTAATGATGTGTCATAACCAGGAAAGCTGACAATGCTGGTGTGTTAGATTAGGAGAGAATCCAATTGTTATTATTGTATTAATCCTATTGTTATTTTGAAAATTTTTATTTAATATAACTAAATAAAATTTTATAATTTAATGTTTTATTTGTATTTAAATTGTAATTATTTTACTTCTAGGGATTCGTTTTTTATTTATGTAATTAGACTTTGTAATTACAATTATAGTCTCTATTGCCAATATTAATATCTAATGAAAAGATGATGTTTCAAAAGTAAAATTCTAGTATATTTTTCAGTTAATAATTTATTTTTGTAGCAAAGGTTATTTTTTGAATTTTTTCTTTAGTGATTTGCTATAATTAAATAAAATTTTTGAACTTAATGGTTTACCTTTATACCACTCGGAACCAACTAAATAACTTTATTTTTAAAAAACTATCTTTATTTTCAATGCCAGTTTTCAAAAATGTCACATTTTTAAACCTTATAAAAAATGCTCCAAACAATATGAAATTTACCCAAATACATATGTAACATTATTAAAACATATACAAACTATCTTTATATGTATCTAAAATCTTATAAATACCGTATAAAACCTTTAAAAACCTTTAAAGAATATAAATTAATTTATATAATTTAAATCTTATTAATTATTTTATATCTTTTGCAACTTTAAAGAATTAATAATTAGAATTTTCAAAAATCGTATTAGGTAGAGACACTGAATTAATTACCATGTTCAGTTTTGTTTCGTACTTATATTTTGATTAGATATCAATTCTAATGATGTGTTACTCTGAGAATAGCCTAAAAAGCTAATGTATAAACACCATCAATTTTTTTTTAATATTATCCTTTTTGTAATAAAAATTTTATATTATCACATATTTTACATATTATCTTTACAAAAATATATAAACTATTTAATTATATTTATGATATATTTATTTTTATTATATATATATGCAGTCCGCGGGGCAATCCGCCAATCTCCGGCATAACCTGCTAAACCCCGTAATCCGAGTGGGATTGCCCGCAAAATATACTTTTTAACGGATTTAATATTTTGTGTTCATACCTGGACCGGACTGTGCTAAGCCCACGATTTTAGGGCCATTTTGATATTTGTATGAGAGATGATGATGTGGAAAAAAGAAAGGTTCTTATTGGATATTAAAAATGAGTTGTATTATTTAGAATGTTTTCATTGGTTATTCATTTTAAATGAGGTGTCAACTCCACAAAGCTTAAAAAAGCTGAGGTGTTAACCTCTGGAGAGTTTCAAGGGTTTTTATTGTATTGATTGGTATTTTTATAGGGAAATAATGGGTATGACGTATGAGTTTCTAACCCAATTAATAGAGGGAGTATGATTAAAATATATCCTCGAGATTCACATGGTTTTGGTATCATCCAAGAATTTAATTTTATTGAATTTTCGCTATTATACACTATTGGTGATACACTACCTAACTAATAAATTTATGTGAATAATATATTCTATTATCACTTTCAGTTGATAATATGATAGGTTCAAAATGAATCTTGACACAATAATAGACGTATACATTTAATAAAATTATAGTAATACTTTATCATTAATTAGATATCATTCAAAAAGTAGTTACGCGTTAAGAGACGTCACGAGTTTATTTTTTTGAATACATTTAATAAAAGAATAGTGTGATACCCCATAATAGGCGCCACGTGACTATTTGTAGTTTCCTTCTTCTTTTTTTCGGTTTAGGGTTTAGCCCTTAAATTAATATAGCCCTTAAATTTTTCGGCCATGAGTTTATTTTTCTTTGAGAGAAATATTTTCACACCAACTAATAAAACTTTTAGAAAAATACAATTTTGATTGGTGAGAAAAAGCTGAACAGTTGAACTTATGAGAAAGAGAAAATGAAAAGAAAGAAAATACGATTTTAGCGTAAATTTTTTTTTTAGTATTTTATAGAGTAAATTGTTATTCTATTTTTTGTAGATTAATAGAAAATACATAATTTTTGGTGTGTTCTTAATAAAAATTACGTAATTTAGGTGTCTATTATCAAAAATACACAATTAATTAAATCTGAAACATTTATAAAATTTTCAAAGGTTTATAAGGTACTTTTCGATAGTAACTAATACTCGGAGACTCGATCCAAGTATTTATAAGGTTTTACAAGTATTTTAAAAGGTATTTATAAGGTTTTACGAGGTATTTATAAGGTATTTGGAAGGTATATATACGACTTTTATAAGATTTACACACATATAAAAGTAGTGTGTGTATGTTTTAATAAAGATATACTTGTATTTGGGTAAATCTCAGATTTTTAGGGACAGTTTTTATAATGTTATAGAGAATGAACATTTTTGAAAAATAGTATTAGAAAACGGACATTTTGAAATTCTCCCAATAAATATAATTATTATGTTATATATAAAATACATAACATATTTTACTTACCTTATCTGTGTCACATTTATTATATATGTTGTGTATATATATATACATATTAGACTAATTTTATTTTTATATATCATTAATATTACTGATATAATAAAATCAAAATAATATCCATTTAAAAAATAATTTTGGATACAAAGAGTAAACGAATATTTGGTAAGTGAAATTTTAAATTTTTTTAAGACATGCAACATCATCACATGAAGAAACATATAAACACATTACATATTTAAGATGTGATTCAATCTTAAGGTTAAAATATTGGAAATTGATTATTTTTTTGCGAAATTTCTAAGAACTTGTTGTATTTAGTAGTTCAAAAATATGTACAAACACATAGCTAAAACATATTTACGATCATTTTTCATGTTTTGGCGAATTTGGGGAAAGAAATCGAGAAGATTGCAAATGCCTCCCAATTTAAGAAGTTAGTCGCACATACAACAAATTATATGCAACCGTGGAAAATAAAAGAATAACTATATATTAGGAATAAACTAAAGGTCGCAAATCATCTTATTTTGAGATGACTTTGCAACCTGTTTTCTATAGTCGAATATTGGTCTTGATATTATAGCCAATATGCGACGGTTAACCAACTTAATTATTTCGTCGTCACTCGTAAATGTGTGACTATTTCGCGACTGTAAAATCAGTTGTAAAATATTCTTTTAATCGTCACAAATTTTAGCGACCAAAAAAAGGAAAAGTAAAAAGAATCCCAAAACACAGATTATCTTGTAGCAACGTCGTCACCAAGACACCAACCTCTCTTTGTTTTTTTTTGTTTTTTTTTTTTTGTGGCGTCTCATGTTCCCTTTAATCATTTGGTGTTTTATTCCAATTTGAGAAGGTAAATCATGTTTTTTCTTTGCGGTAGTTATGGAGAGAAACAAGATTTACTCTTATTATTTACTCTCTTTTCCTCTTTTTAGGCTATTTGGTTACTTAAACCAGTGGCGGAGGTAGCATAGAAACATGGGGGTCAACTGACCCCGGTGAATTTTCAAAATCAAACTAATACTATGGCATATTTAAACAAATACATAGATATTTGATTAAATTCCTATAAATTGACCCCATTGCCGAATATGAAAACTACTCTTTTGACCCCTTAAACCATAACTTTTTTAATATTAACCACTAATTGTTATATATAAGTTTCTTTGTTTTTAATTTTATGAACAATGTTTTCATGTAATTCAATAGCATATTACTTTTTTCTTTAATTATTATAAATCTAATTACATGTATTTCACTATATCGTTTAATTTTATTATTTTTGCTTTTATCTATTTTAAGTTTTCTCTCATTTATAGTTATGTATATTAATTATCATGTTTTAGACAAACCAAATTTTTTTAGAAATATCCGAATATTATTTTTGTAAATATAATAAAAAAACATAAGCTATATGCAATATAATTTGAAGAAAAAAAACAACCACATCTATTTTATTAAAATAATTTTTTTATATTTTGACCCCGGTAAATTTAAATTCTAGCTCCGCCACTGTACTTAACCAAACACACAAGTGGCTAGAATTAAAGTTTCTTTAACGGAGTTACATACCAACCTGCTGCTCAGAGAATTTCTGTTCCATTAGAACATACTCCCAAGATTACTACTAATCTTATCAATGGAAACGATCTTTTTCCATAAGCATGAAAATTCAACGATTTTCGCTCTATTCAACAAAAATATTAATGTAGAAGGCATAGTTCGTGTAAAAAACCTATATGGAGGATATCCTTGAATTAAAGTCTTTTTAGAATAAATTACTCCAACTGAAAATTAACAGTAGACTTTAATATAAATTATAAAATGAGTTATAGATTATACCATGTGGCCCCAATTTTTTACCCCCCACGCTTCCCTCTCTTGGTCCTTATAAACTTGTTGTCTTCCAATTCTTCATACCCAAAAACAATAATCACCTCTTAAAGTAACATCTTTGTTTTTCTCTCACCTCTAAGAAACAATGTTGAGTGCTTTTTTGGGTCATGCATCAGCTATTGCTATAGCTTCACCAGTAGTCAGCATTGTTGGCATCAGGTTATTTTCTTGATTTATACTTTTGGCTTTATGTGAATTTTGTACTCTCTTTTTTTCAATGTCATTTTCAGTTAATTGTTTACAAGCATGCATATTCATCTTTTTTTCTTTACATGTTAATTTAAATTAAGGCGACCAACATACGGAGAGATGAAACAAGTGGGAGTCGTTGAAAAACAAAGAGAAATGCCAACATTTCCTCAATCATTTCCTATGAACGGTGGTGATGGTCCGCACAGTTACATCCACAATTCCTCTTATCAAGTAAGTAACAATGATATACCAAATTTTTCTTTCTATATGATATGATTTAATAGCTAATTAAGATATTATTGCTAAGATAGTTTGTATAACTTGTGATACAGAAAGTAGCGATAGATGGCGCTAAAGAAAAGACAAGTGAAGCCATCTTAAAGAACCTCGATCTCGAACTCCTGAACCGTAATTCTGATGCAAGCATCGTAAGAATTGCGGATTTTGGTTGTTCCATTGGGCCAAACACATTTGACGTTGTCCAAAATATCATTGATACGGTCAAACAAAAAAACCTAAAAGAAAAAAAAAACAATATTGGTGCTCCTCTCGAGTTCCAAGTATGCTTCAATGATCAACCAAATAACGATTTTAACACACTTTTTAGAACCCAACCTCTCTCTTCCAAACAAGCATATTTATCGGTCGGAGTTCCAGGGTCCTTCCATGGTAGAGTATTACCAAAAAATAGCCTCCATATTGGTCACACTACCTATACACTCCACTGGCTTTCTAAAGTTCCCCAACATGTCAGTAACAATAAATCTCCCGCATTGAATAAAAGCTATATTCAATGTAATAATTTAGTAGAGGAAGTGACTAAGGCGTACGAGATCCAGTTCAAAATAGACATGGGAAGTTTTCTTGAAGCAAGAGCAGAAGAAATTGTCTCGGGCGGATTGATGATCCTTTCAGGACAATGCTTGCCTGATGGGATCCCAAAGGCTTTGACATGGCAAGGTGTTGTGATCGATATGATTGGAGATTGTCTTATGGATATGGCTAAACTGGTAAGGAATTTAATCCCTTAAGAATTTTTCTTATATTCTTAGTTTTCAAAACATGGATCATATTTTAATGCTTAATCTTCTCTTAAATGTTAAAGAACTAACTCTGAATTTTTACACTTATTGTTGCGAATTGTTTGATTTTGTAGGGAATAACGAGCAAGGAAAAGATCGAACTGTTCAGTTTGCCCACATATATCCCGCATATTAGTGAATTCAAGGCAAACATTGAGCAAAATGAAAACTTTAGGATCGAGACAATGGAGGAGATAAGTCATCCTATGGATTATATGCCATTAACCAACGACTTCATCACTTCCATGTTTCGAGCCATTCTCAATACTATTATTGAAGAACACTTTGGAGACGGTGTGGTCGATGAGCTATTCGAACGACTTGCTAAGAAGCTGGACAAGTACCCAATTGATTTCAAAATGTGTAAAAAGTATGTGAACTATTTTATCGTGCTTAAAAGAAAATGAAAATGGAGATAATGACAATACTAGTTATGTCATTATTATGTTGTGTTATCAAAAAAAAAAAATCATGTCAATTGTGTGTGCTTGTTTGTGTTTGAATTCAATAAAAGAAAATGGTCAATTGTGTGTGTTTCATGAATTTCTTACCAATCGTTGATGTCTAAAAATTTCGAAACAATAGAAAAAATCTTGAAGCTTACTTTCCCAAACTCAAACATTTTAAATTTACAGTCTTTGGTTTGGATTACATCAATATACCTGGAACCTTCATACCAAAGGTTTGGAGATTTGCACAAAGCCAAAAAAAAGCGGTGAATTGTGGTGAAGAAAACATTAGTGGAGTTGGAGATTTTTTTTTTTTTTTGATAACCCAGTGTCCAGACCACACAATGATCCGACTAGCCCACTGGGCCTAAGCCCGCGTGCTTGGGATTTTTAAGCCTCCACTTAAGGGTCCCCCGGAACTGGTGGTCTGGGACGCTGCGCCCCGCAGGTAAATTGCGCAGTGGCCAAGTGGAGATCTAGCAATTGCGCGCTTGCGGGAAATCGATCCCTGGCCTAGACCAACAGGGCAACTCCTCCACAAGTGGCAACCACTAGACCAAGAACACTTGGTTGGAGTTGGAGATTTAGCAAAGGTTTTGGTGATTAACATTACTAGATTTGTTGTAATACATGTTAACAATAAATAAAAAAATATAACGATGTAAATTAGTTTTTATTAAAGTAAAGATTAAAGAACAGTAATATATGAAAAAAAAGAACAGAAATATGTGAATAAATTATATAACTAGTAATCTTCTCTATCTCTCTCTGATTTTTTTTTATACTATATATACTAATTTACATTCAATAATATTTTTTTTCTTTCATTTTCTGTTATAAATACAATTTGAGAAAAAAAAAATCAATACCCCTCATGATACTCTAGTAAATATATATATATATAGACTCGAAAAAATATTGTAAGCTCAAAAAAAAAAAAAAAAAAAATATTGTAAGCTCGGTCAGACCGGTTGAATCGGATTGATCCATGACCCATAAAATTTTCTTGCTTCATCATCCTGTCCGGTTTTAAAAAATATTGTTTCAATTCTAATTATTAGAGAACTAGTGTTTCTTCTTTGCATAGCATGCGAAACTAAACTAATGTAAAAGAAAGGATGCGATCATATCAGCACTAATGCACCGGATCCCATCAGAACTCCGCAGTTAAGCGTGCTTGGGCGAGAGTAGTACTAGTATGGGTGGCCTCCCGGAAAGTTCTCGTGTTGCATCCCTCTAAAAAAGTTTGACCATTAAAAAAAAATTAATGTAAAAGAAAAACAGAAAAAAAAAAACATGCAAACTAAATGCTCGATCGAACATCATCATACAAGAATGTTTGAAAATTGTTTGAACTTTGAGATCCATGGTTTTGATGAACTTTGAGACCTAACTCATATAAAGAAGCAAATCAAGAATTAAAATCAACAAGATGAGCATTAAGAGAAAGTATATACCAAGAAGTCCAGTGTAGAAAGATAATGGAACATCGGTGTGATGAATCTTGAAATGTGAAGAAGGATTACGTTCACAAAAAAAAAAAGGTTGAGAACGAAACAGAGGAAAACATATTAGAGAGAATAAGTAAAATATTCAAAAAAAAAATATTCAAATCAAAAGAAAGCATAAACAACCAAAAAAAAAAAAGATAAGTTTGAAAATCAAGCATTGATATCAACAAGATGAGCATTAAGAGAAAGTATATACCAAGAAGTCCAGTGTAGAAAGATAATGGAACATCGGTATGATGAATCTTGAAATGTGAAGAAGGAGTTGGAGTAATAACACTATACTCTTCCCATCCAACTCTTCCCCAAAGTAAATCTCCATTTTTGTAATTTGGATGATCTGAATCTATTGCTTTAGCCACTCCAAACCCAGAGATTGGCTACAACACAATGAAATAATCATCCAATGTGAAAAAAAAAAAAAAAAAACTTTCACCAGAGATTCTAAAATTTTACCTTGCCTATAGTGAAAGCATGAGCGATGGAAGCAGGGGACAAGGGATCAGGCTTCCCCATGCGAGTGCGGCTGTGAGGATCACAAGATAAGTAGAGGTTCTTGACTAGAACCGCCATGGATCCGGGAGGTACACGTAAGTCAACGGTGGTTGCGGCAATGTAGAGGTCGGATTCTTTAGGGAATCCACTCACGTAGTCACGGAGAATCACCTGATTGTTAGTCGTCGACACCACGCCGATGTTCGCCATTTTCGCTGCTGAAAATTTTGATTGGGAAGAAGATGATAATTTCCTTCGTTCAGTCATAACTCATAATTGTTTAAAAGATAAACAAAAAAAATCTCGTATGACGTCACTGATTGGACAATGATTAAAAGTAACGTCATTATGTAACTGTGTTAAAAGCCTAAAAGTTCACCAACTCCTCCACTAGCCAAATCATTGGAGATTATTAAGTAAAGTCTGGTAGTAACCTTCATAAACCATACCGTTTTATAAATATGAATCCACAACGATACATGGCATAGTAATTATGCCCCCCACTAATTTATATTCTCTATTCTCTACACCGGTTTAATCTTTAATCATATCAATACATTTCAAGATTTTCAATTTAGACTCCATCAAACCACACAAATTATAATAACCTATACCAGAACCTTAGAGTAATTGCATTGGAAGAAGAGATGATCTCTGGATTCCTCCCCAGTAAGACAAATAAGGCAAGGGGAAGGGACTCTATTAGTTCATTATAATTAAGTTTTATTAGTTCAATATAAAAATTAATTGTCATTTGGACAAAGTTTTAGTCCGTAGTAATGCATAAGTTCAAGGAGATGTTTTATGTCCCTTTGGTTATATTAAATGCCTCTTGAAGCTGAATTTGTGATGAATAGAAAACAGAGGTTTAAATCTAGAACATAACTGAAGTTTTATGGTCTTGAAGCAAACCAGAGTTGCAGACCATTTTTCCATCGTACTTGAACTCATGTCAAGAGATAAAAGTCGATTTCGAACTGTCCGGTCGATCGTTTGAGTTATGAACATGATTCGATATGTCTAATGTCCTAGTATTAGTGATCTAATATATATATATATTAGAAATAGAACCATATATACACATAGGATTTTTCAAAAGTTATTGTCTGATCTAATTTTGTTATTTTACATTAGTTCGACTCAAGATCAGAAAATCTTATTATTTTATACTTTCTCTATTTCAAAATATAGGATGCTTTCGGGAATTTTTTTTTGTTTCAAAATATAAGATGTTTTACAAGTTTTTACGCAAGTTTTAAATGTATTTGGTATTTTGTGACTATTTATATTCTGCAGTCTTTTTTTGTAACTTGTTAATTTTTTAAAAATCAAATATTAAATGATAGTCTTAAAGAGAAATAATTTCTTAAACTATGTGCTTTTGTCAGTAATTACAGTTCTCTTCATTTACACTCCCTCTATTTTACAAAGAATGTCATTCTAGTATTTTTCACAAAAAATTAATAAAAATAAACAAATTTCTTCTCTACCATTTTTTAATACACTATATAATATTTTCTTTCTAATTAATAAACTGAAATAGTAAATATATAAAAAATTTAATCTTAAAAACTGCATTGGAAACATAAAAACAACACTTTTTGTGAAATCAGATTAAAATTTTAAAACGGCTCTCTTTATAAAATGGATGAAATATGAAATTGAAACTAATATATTTATATATATATATATATAGATAGATAATTTGGTATCTACTAAAAAAATAATGAGGAATGGAGTACTTTCTCTATCAAGAAAGGAAAAAGAAAAACACATTATTATCAAATAATTTCTTGATGAGAAATAGCGATAAACAAAGTGATATAAATTTTCTTGATGTTTTGTCGGATACTGTTAAGAAGGAAAAACAAAATACAGTGTCGGCTAGTAATGTAAGTTTCCTGAAAGCATGGACACGTGATAGATAATTCGGAACCTCTTTTGTGTTTGTAGTTTTAATAATTTAACTAGATCATGACCCGCACGTATCTACGTACGTGTAGAAATATCTTTATAGAAATTGTTATAAAGATTTTAAAAATATAAAATATTTTGTTATATTAGTGAACTTCGTAATAATATAAATATTATAAAGATAGAGTAATGAACAAAAAATTCAATTGCGTTAATGCATAATTATATTTTAAGATCCGGACTAATTTAGTTGTAAAAGTTAAATGGTGTTATATTTTTATTTTCTTAACTAATCAAAACAGTTCTAACCGTTTGATTACATATGTTAAATAGGATATGAATTTGGTTTTAGTTTGGGTTATTTCATGTATATTAGCAAGGCGTAACTATTTTGGAACAGGAAACATATCCCGTCCGGTATCTGTCATAAATTTTTTGTCCCATAACCTGTCACGTATACGTAAAATAAAAATATTACGGTCCCATATCTGTCATAAATAGAGTATGTGTAACTGAAAACGTATGTACATGGTTATGTGTGTAAACAAATTTATTTTATATAGTGCTCATAACCCGAACTCATACCAATTGGGTATTTAGTTTGATTTTTAATATATGTTCCCCTCCCATCTCGTCTCGTAATTTCTATTTCCATTTTATTCCATTAAAATTATGTTCCAAATTCTTGTTTGCTTACCTTTAAATATTATGGATTGAGAAGGAAGATCCGGTTGAGAAGAAAAAAAAACACAAAATCTTTCGAAATTAATATGTACAATCTATTGTTTAGATATTTCGAAACTTGCTCTAAACGAATGCCCAATATCGTTTTTTTTAGAAATTGTGAAATAAATTTTTGTTTTATATTTCAAAATTTCTGAAAATATTATAACAAAACTGAGACTTAAATATTTGTATTTTTTTTTTTTACGAAATTTCAAATTCAATCTTAAAATCCCCCATTGATAAAATTTTTTAAGCTATAGTGTTTTTAATTTGACTTAAAATGGTATTATTTTTCTTTTTATTTTTGATATAGAATAGTTTATTAGGATTGGTTTAGATAAAATTTTAGTTGGATATCAAATCTTAGTTTTTCAATTCTCATTGGTTAACAACGTTTTAGAAAAAAAATTTAAATTTTCGTCCATAATTAATAAGAGAGAGAAAGTGAGTTTAATTTTTTGAAAACTAATAATTGCTTCAAAGAATTTTATTATTTTTTATTTAAATATATTATTTTGTGATTACTATTGTATCTTTAATGAATTTATTTAAAAACAAAAACTAATGGCATTTTTGTAATACTTTACACTTTATAATGTTATTTATTTTTGAGTGCTTCCCAATTAATAGTATAGATTAATCCTTTTCGTTCTTTAAGTAAAATGATTCAATGAATCTTATCTTTATATATGTCTATATTCATTGTAGTTATTAAAAAAATATTTTGTCGTTAATTAAATCTCCCAGAAGCTTGGATATGGTCTCCGCGCATTGTCGTTATTTATGTAGATTCACACGAAAATTGGAAAAAATGTCATGAGAAACCTTAATTTACCAAAAATGATAAAAAAGCTTCAATATAAGTTTTTTTTTCCTCCAAAAAATTTAAATTTTCAATTAAAACGTTAATTTAGATAAATAAAAAATGTCGTCAAGTCAATTAACGAATTTAACGAAGTTAAGTCAATGTTAACAGTTAGTCCTGGGTAAATTAAGCAAATCGAAAGTACTAAACTGGAACCGAAGCAAAATAATCGAACTAAAACTGAATCAAAAATTTAAAATATTCGAATAATAGATCTTAAATTCTAGAACAAAAATAGCCAGAACCTAGCCGAAATATATCGAATACCCAAAATACAATCATATACGAAATAACCAAAACTACCCACAAATAAAAAAATACCAAAAATATCAGAAATAAAATATCCGAATGGATCCTAAACTGCATAACAAAAAAGACCATTTGTTACTTAACCACCTGAACTGAAGTATTATTATGATAACTAGGTGAGTTCCCACGCTACGCGCGGGCTTATGTTTAGCTATGATGTTTTACTGTATTATCTTTACTTTTTCATTTATTCTAAAAACTTGTAGATTTTTGAAATTCTTTTTATATTAAACTATCAAATTTTATATTATTATAATTAATAAATTTCGTAAAATTCACAAGTCCAAATATAGATGAAAGTAGAGTTTTTAAGTTTATGATATAAATAAGAGAATTAGAAATAAACAAAGTTCATCAATGTGAGATATATGCTTATGATCATGTTGTTAATATTGTGATTCGTAGAAGGATTTGTTTTGTTTTTTTTATTGTGCACTTTAGATTGAGGTAAATCAACATCACGAGTTTTTTCTTTCATCAAAATAATTTGAACCTCATCTACAACCAGAAAGAAGAATAATATTGTTCATGGGTTGTGTTTCTATTAAACCTTCTGCTAACTTTGTCTCTAAACGCAAGAACTCAGCTTCATGTACGAGCCAATTCATAAAACTACTATTTGCCACATATAACCTACAATCATTCACTTTGTTTAATTTAACTATAACAAGCATACACACAATTTTGCATTTTTTATGGATAAGAAGGTGTAAGAAAAAAAATGAATGATGTTGTGTGCTACCCTTTATTCTATTCATGTTTTCCTTTTTTCTTTGTGTATTTTGCTTAGTTAAGTGCGAAAACAGTATTAATGTTAGTAAAAACAATGTAGATATAAATGTTTATAATAACCTTACAAACTCCGATCCTTGATAAACTTACCTTTAACTATTTGCTGCATATAAAGCTAGCTATGAGCAGTGGCGGATCCAGGCCCAAATTCTATATGGGGCACTTTATTTATAAAATACTAGTTAAAATTAAATTAGCTAAATTATACTATGATTATAAAAAAAAATCTACCCAAGTTACAATTTTGGGAATCGAACCTAGGTTGATATGAGGCACCCTTAGCTGTAAAACCATTTATGCTACCTAAATTTCATTGTACATATATAGCTTATACAATATTTATAGGATTTAGTATGGGGCACATGCCTCACCCAACTCCAACGTGGGTCCGCCCCTGGCTATGAGGTGATGGGGTCTAAAAACTATTTTAGGTTTGAGAATGATGACTTATGAAGAGTCGATGCTTTAAAATGATAGAGGAGAAGTTTAAAGGTCAATGATAATCTGAAATCTAAGTAGCAAAAATCATTGATTAATGGAAGGTAAAAATTAACTTTAGGTTTTTAGCTTTAAATTCTATTTGGACATGTGGCACTATCTAATTAGGTGCTGACGTGTCACTCATATGGAGAGAGTTAGCCAACTTTTATATATACTAGAAGATAATCCGGGCTACGCCCGGTACACATATCTAAAAATTGATACTTTTTATGTTTTAAAAAAAATTAAAAATAACACCAACAACATGTTTATTCTTTGGTTGTTAGGCAAGAATAGTAGGAAAGACCATATATAAATCACTTTGGGTGTATTCTCTAGAAA